TAAATAAAAAAATAATGTAAAGCATTACTAGTAAAAACTGGTAACTTTTACGGAATTACGGCTCCATGGGACATAAGGAGATAAAATACACGTAACGTTACGGACGCAATGCCTAGCAACTTTTGCGGACATCCGGTGCGGATTACGGATTGCGGGCTGTATGTGACGGCACCCTAAAGCATGTGCATAAGGTCATTGGCCCATTTTCTTATGCATGAGTCAATGGACCAATCAAATTCTTTATGTATATGGTTTATGCGTTATGCAAAAGTCTGTGCTCCCCGCTTAAGGCCATCAAAACTTCTATCTCACTTCTTCTTATCCGTTCTATCTCTATCACTCTTGTCAGGACCATATAAATGCTTCCGTTTAAATATCCTGTATTTTGTTTATATCCTTAGGGTGCAGTCACATGGGTCACGTTCAGCAGAAAAGAGCGCTACTAGAGCGCTCGCTGTTATTGGTATATTCTTCCAGATCTGAAATTCTGATTGGATGATCTAGAAGAATACACCAATAACAGCGAGCGCTCTAGTAGCGATCTTTTCTGCTGAATGCGACCATGGAATCAGAAATAACGGAACGAAACAACAACGGAAAAGGCATATAGAAGGGGTTAACCAATCAGAGCAATTCCGTTACGTTTTTTGTAACTGGGTTTCACATGATGAGAAATATATTGACGGAAACGAACGAAATAACGTCAATGAGCTTATCACAGCAATCCGTCAGCATGGTAAAGTATTTATTGTAGTATATATGCAAAATATTAGCGTCGAGTGGCTCACCGCTCTGTGCGATTGACTTGCGATTTGTAGACCCGAGTTCAATCCCACGTGCGCCCAAACGCGATTTTTCGCGTTTAATGAGCCAAAAAATGGCTCCATCTGGTGATCAAAAGATCTATGATCATCAGCGCCGTTCGGATTCGGCGTTAAACTGTAGGTCCTATACATCAGTATACATATCAGTAGATATTTGTCTCTAATATCTGACTGAGGTAGGATTCTGTGGACCAATCACCCACAAATCCGAAAAACAATCTGATTCGAGAAACGAATATAGGCCTCGGACAAAAGAGGTCTATAGACGTCCTATGCTCCACATAAGGAGATAAAAGGAGTCGTTATATGCAAAATATTGGAGATATTAACAATAATACATATATGTATATATGTATATTTGTTATTAGGAACAATTAAAATGTAGTTATTGTGTAGTTATTGTAATTATTATTATTAAATGTATATAGTTATTGTTATATATATGTATATTATATATATATATTTATATTTATATATAATATAGTATTAATAATATTAAAAATATTAATTTATTTGTAATTTGGCATTCTTACAAGCACCAACCACAATAACTACATTTTAATTGTTCTTAATAACATAAATTAACTTGGAAAGAAAACTGATTTATACAGGAGTTTGTTATTTATGAATTAATATATCTTACAATTAATAACATATATGTATACATACATGTATTAATTATTAAAATATCTCCAATATTTTGCATATATACTATAATAAATACTTTACCATGCTGACGGATTGCTGTGATAAGCTCATTGAGGTTATTTCGTTCGTTTCCGTCAATATTTTTCTCATCACGTGAAACCCAGTTACGAAATAACGTAACGGAATTGCTCTGATTGGTTAAGTCCATGGCCATATATGTAATACTACTATATGGCTAGATGAGAGAGAAGTCCATGTCCCAGAACCACGGTGCGGGAATATACTTCTCTCTCTTTCTCAGGGTACTTTGAACGTTGTGCGCATGCGTCGGATTCATCCCCTCCATCAATAATAAATAGAAGGATAAATATACATATATGTGTAAGGAAGAAGGAAAAAGTGATTGATTCCGCTTCAGGGTATAACCTTGTTACAGTTAACAGAGTCAGTTTAGTCGGAATAAATAAATTAATCCTAATTTTATGAAATAAACTTTTTCAAAAACTAATACCTATTTCATACCTATGCAAACTAATGTTTTCAGTCGCATTAGGCGCATTAGGCTTTTTGCCACATAAATAACATATCTTGACCATTTTTGCCTGTGTACAACAGCACACATCTAATAAGCATAACGAGCATAACCTGTTTGCGTCATCTCACTGATCGCACTCTATTTTCCTATTGGCGGATGCAATCAATCCAACGCATGCGCACAACACTCAAAGTACTCTTAGAAAAAGAGGGAAATATATATTCCCGCACCGTGGTTCTGGGACCGCTTCCTCTCACTCCCTCTTATAGGCACTAGCCATATAGTAGTATTATATATATGCCCATGGCACATAGAAAAACGTAAGGCCGTAAACGTAATCAGTAAGCGAATTGACCAATCACAGTTGAGAACGTAAGCGGCGGCTGCTTACGTTCTCAACTGTGATTGGTCAATACGCTTACTGATTACGTTTACGGCCTTACGTTTTTCTATGTGTCATGGGCTTTAACCCCTTCCATTTGCCTTTTCCGTTGTTGTTCCGTTCCGCTATTTCTGACTTCATGTGACTGCACCCTTAAGCGGGGAGCACAGACTTTTGCATAACGCATAAAGCATGTGCATAAGGAATTTCATTGGTCCATTTTCTTATGCATGAGTCAATGGACCAATCAAATTCCTTATGCACATGCTTTATGTGTCATGCACACAGACTTCTATATATACTACAAGACTGCTAACTTGTTTGAAAAAGTGGACCCCAATTTCGATTGTGCATTATACGCATGCGTCAAGAACCGCACCGCGTGACCCGTGCGACACATGCGCATACATTAGCACGCTCCATCGACATATAGGTCGGTATTCATAATCAGTTCTTATATTCAAGACCGTCTTAAGTTCAGTCTTGAGGAGTTAGGGTCTGCGCACAATGGAGGAACAGATATTAGATATTAAAATATTGACCTATCAGAATCGTGTATTCCGGTGTAACTGGTATCTGATAGGTTAATATTTTAATATCTAATATCTGTTCCTCCATTGTGC